CTTGAACAGACGCACTCTCCTTGACATTGTCAAGGTCTGTTTTTTCACCACTTAACCCAGCGGCCATGACATTGGGCTTGATATCCGAGAGATAGCACTCTCGGGCCATCTTCTGATCTCCCCTTAGGGAGCCGACTGTTCCATCATCCCTCTCAAATTTGAGCAACATAAGAGACGGGATTATAACAGCCTTGGAATTATTCAGGGTTTGTCGTCCCAGAATCATGTTGTAGGCCGAGAGTTCCTCAACTACCAGGAATCGGACCACCATGTGGCGACCTTCCCCTTTTTCACCCAAGCGGATGGGTAAATCCACTCGTCCCACTGGGTGGACGACTCCTCCTCCAAACCCTACTAGAGGGTGGGATACCGGATGTAGGCAATCAGTCTGGTATTTGAGCTTTGACAGACATTTGCTACTGATAAGATCTGAGGAGCTGCCGGTATCTATGAGGATTCGGCCAACTCGCTGGTTGGCCACTTTACATTCAATAACAATAGGGTCGTCATGCGGCCCTCTTACCCCTCCTAAATCTTCTTCAGTGATGACAATTTCAGGAAATGAATATTTGGAGGGCCGTTCTTGGTGAACGGAATTGACGTCTAGCCGCCTGATATTGTCTTTGTTGCCCCTGATAGTGGGGCCGCCTCCAGAGAAGTCGCCTGCAATGGTGTAGACGACTGCATCATCTGTATCAGAGTTGTCGGCCTGTTGATTCTTTTTGGCCGACTGCTTTTTCAAGGAAGTGTTCCCCTTAGATTTCTTGACATAAGAGTCAAGATCGCCTTGTTCAGCCAAGCGGTCCAGATACCGCATGAGACTGATGCATTCTTTGGTTTGATGACCAACATCTTCATGATAATCACAGAATTTTTCTTGGTTCCGGTTTCTCGCAGAACCCTTCATGGGGGCCGACAATTGAGATCCGTCCCTTGATTTCTTTTAGGATAGCTTGGCTATCCTTGTTAAACACATACTTTGGGGAGTATGGTTTGAATTCTTTCTTCTTCTTCTGGGCCGGCTGTTTAGATGAATCGGCCGCCCAGACCTCTTTTCGTTTCTTGTCCTCTTTGTTGGACGACTGCTTCTGTCGCCCTTCTTTCTTGTCGAACCTCTTTCCGTCCGACTGCTTTCCAGTATTACAAAGATCAGTCGCCTGTATATAGGCTTCAGCTTCAATCAAGGATTCTTGAAGAGTCGCTACCCTCTTTCGAACCAAATCAAATTTGAAGGTCGACCCGTCTTTGAGGCCTCTGAAAAAGTCAGTATAGGCCACCTCATCCGGTAGCCCTTGAATCTGTATTCTCATCAGGTTAAACCGCCTGATGTAAGAACGAAGCCCTTCCTTCTCACCCTGCTGAATCGTCCCTAAATCAAGGGTCGTCTTCTTCGCAGGTATGTTCATGGCAAAGTTGGAGGTGAATAGGTAAGCAAGCGTCCTGAAGTTATTCACACAACCAGTCGGCAAGTTGTCGAACCATTGTTGTGCGATTCCTTTAAGAGTCACTGGGAAACACTTGCACCAAGTGGGATCATCCAACCCTTGGAGGTACATCAGGTTAATGAATGCCATCAAATGGTCTTCTGGGTTAGTAGTGCCGTCATAGGCGCCTATTAACACATTTTTAACTTTGACTGGCTGAGCGGCTTCAGAAATTTCCTTGGAGAAAGCCGACGGCTGTTCTCCAAGTCTAAGCAGCCGTAGCTGCCAGTCCAAAGGTTGGACATTTTTTGCCGCCTGTCCTCCAAACGGAGGGGGTTGCAGAAAATATTGTTGTTGCGATACAAAGGGTAAGTTTGGCACCGCCTGGTCACTCTGAAAATCAGACCGACGGGAGGTACCGCCTGTCTGACTCTCATGGTTTGACTGAGCATACCTCATAGAGGTATTGCACAGACTATCTTGAAAATCTGAAGTAGAGGCCGACTCTGACAGTCGGTCGTTCCTCTTCTGCTCTAGCAATAGTTGAGCATCTGTATATGTTTTCTTCGACCCATCCGCCTGAATATGACGAACGGGTTTCCTCTTTCCTGGAGTAGGAAAGCGGTACTTTGTGAAATCAAGGACAGGCGGCTCCCACTTCCTAGAGTTAGGATGAGGGGTCGCCTCTCGCCCTTGAACAGGCTTCCTCTTCCCTGAAGAGGAAGGTTTCTTAGTCGACTGCTCCTTGGCCGGAGCAGGTGTCTTTTTATTGATCAGCTCCTGAATCTCTCCCTTGAAGCCCCTCATGAAGGTCATGAGTTCGTTCCTTGTAATGGGAGCAGACCCATCAGTCGGTTGGTGCTGAGCAGGCGGTGCGCCGACTGGATCGCTGAGTCCAATTTGAGGATCTTCCCGTTCTCTCCTTTCAGTATGACGGGTGCGCCGGGCCCTTAGGGTCCCGTCTGAAGCTGTATGAGCTTCAACTTCAAACTCTTCTTCAGTATCATGGTCCGACTGAACTTGAGGGTCGTCCAGAGGACGCCTCTCTTCAGGATTCGGTACAGACGTGGATGCCATCTCAAAAGTACTCTCCCCACAGACGGCGCCAAAATGTTTTGGGGTTTTTTTGATGTCCTGCGGGAGAGTTACAATTCTAAGACTGGAACCGGACGCCTGTACCTGCAAAACAAACGGATACTCCGGATGATTGGAGATCCGCCTCCAACAGTCAAGTTAGTACTTTATTAAGGAGTAATTAATGCAGAAATAATGTAATTTGGTCTCTCTAGGTGAGAGTGTTTAATGTGCGTAATCCCCTTTAATGAGGACTAATGAAGGTATTTATAACCTTGGGAAGCGTGTCACTCTCTAGGTTTAGGTTAAACCTAGGGCTGACTGGGCCTCCAACAAGGATTGGGCCTTGTTGGCTCATTTTCCCATGTGTCATGGGAAGGACACGCGTCGCGTCGCGGCTGGTCCATTGTGGACGAATATTTGGTTGACACGTGGCAGGCTCTCATTGGCCTACGTGAAGGACACGTGGCGGAACCTGGTTGGTCCACGTGTCAGATGGTGATTGGTGGATAAAAATCCCCTAATCACTACTATTAAAAAATATTTGAAATGGGTAAAATGGAAAAGCTTTTCAATTTTATATTGAAAAAGAAATACAAAAATGGCTGGTGATTTATGTGAATTTATCATAAAGTAGTGGAACACAGTGGAAAATAAAAAGGACAAATTGTTCATAGACAAATATCTATATAGTTATTAGCGATATTTAGTATGTATTTTATATTAACTATAAAGGAGAGAGAAAGCAATCAACATGAAATATAAAATGGTAGTGATTTTAAAAATAAGATGTGAAACTGACAAAGGGGTATAGACCACATAGGAGAGAGAAAGTGGTATAAAGGAGAGAGAAAAAAAAAGACAAATGTTTCTCATATAACATATTGACATTTGTATTTTTTAAATAGTCATAAAACCATCTAAATTGCATATATGAAGGAGTATTTATTATTTCACAATCAGTGGTTCATGTGAAATTATGAATATTTAATTATTTATTTAAGCACATGGCCCAAATTCTAAAAAGGCTTCATATATATTAAATATTAGCAATACCACCAATACACTACACATAAAAATCATAAAAGTTTAAATGGCTCATTGATAGTGCAATTGTGATTTAATATGGAGTAGGGTTTGAATATCCCTATAAACTTCTTTCCTAAATTTTTTATTTTAAAAAAAATTTTGCATACTCCTTTTAATGAATAATAAATATGTACACATTTCTTAACTTATTAAGAATATCAATAAAATTTAAAGGAAAATGATAAACATAAGAAGCTAAAAAAGAAAATATTGAGGATAAAGAAACATTAATTACACCGATCTGCACATAGTTTTGTCATGAATTTCCAAGTTAATTCTATTTTATGAAGTATATTTAATGCTTATATATAGCCTTAAGGGCTACATATATCATTACCCAAATTTAAAACCTATTTTCTAGCTAATTTCTTAAGCGCATGAAGTATACATAACTTATTTCCCGTAATCCTGTTTATGGGATCAAATGTGATTGTTAATTTACATATATTTTTTTAAAGATTTTACAGAAGAAAGGGCCGAATTTTATATTATATTGTTTTTCTCACTTGAAATTTTTTTGTAAAACAAAATTAATCGAAGTAAGAAGATCAATAAAAATGGAGTGAGTACAAGATAATGTACATTAGATCCCCGTATTTATGGGCTCGTTTGAACGTTTTTTGTTTTTTTTTTTTTTTTTGCTAACTGACATCTTTTAGTCTAAAATACTGGAGAAAAATAAGTGATAAAGTGCTTTTCTCATGGAAATTAAAAGCCTTTATATCGAAACACATGACTATTAGTATATAATTGATTCATAGCAAAATAAATAGACACAATGAATTAAAGTTCTTTCAAACGTTCTACGTATTAAACTAATTTGACTAGCTAATTATATTAGCTGGTTTGATTGCTAGGTACTTAGGTAGTAATAGTTGTTTATTGTATAAGCGTTTAGTTCATAGATGTTAACAGGTAGATACTTTGTGGAAAAAGATGGTAATACGAGGATCTAATGTAGTAATAGAATCATTTGAACATGTTTTAGTTCCATTAAAAGAGTAATGGTATTATTAGAGTACTTTTTGAAGGTGTATATAACATTGGGCAAGATTTTAGTACGTTGAAAAACTATTTCATGCTCAAGATCTGTAGAGGTAAGCAGCAATGGAAGCATTTGATTCGATTACATACAAGCAGAGATGGCAAGTAAACTGCGTGATGGTTTATAAGAATACTTATTCAGATTCTGCTAATTTGAACATTTAAGTCAGGCAAGATATAATACGAAGTTGAAAAACTTTTTCATGCTCAAGATCTGCAAATGTAAGGAACAATGTAAGCATTCAATTCGATGACATACAAGCAGAGATGGCTAGTAAACTGCCTGCTGGTTTAGAAAAATACTTGTTCAGATTCTGCGAATTTGGACATGGAAGTCAGAAAGAAGTTTAGCTTTTCATCCCTGAGCAATAAAGACAGGAAAATCGAAATATGGACTGCCATGTTATATATGTAGAGTACTCACTGACACATCCAGAATTCAAACATAAGAAATTAAAGCATATACATTACCGTGACCAAGTACTTTACCAGACTCTAAATTATGAACAACAGTAATACATGATACATTGGAAGCATTCACACTTAAACACTAAAAACTTGCCTCCATTTGTTTTGCTGAGAATCTGAGATGTTAAGATGTGAGCATAAAATGCTGTAGAACTTGTGAGTTAAAATGTCTAAAGCTCATCTTTAACTGATGAGTCGAAACAGTGTTCATCCCAGTAGAATGGAAACTTCAATCTGGCTGCAGTATGAGGCATCGACCAGTCTTCATACATAAACCTATAACAAAATAAAAATCATAGTTAATAATCCAATACAGCAGATACAAATCACATCTGATCTTTATACATAAAAATGTATTGCAAGTAGCAATGGTAAAACAAACTCAGGTCTTTATACATGAGTAACGTATTGCAAATAGCAATGGTACTATTCTAGATCCAGGGTCTATGATCTCTGGCTGCCATCGTGACTCAACAAGGTTCCCTTCCTCATTGCTATTCATGACTCAACAAGAATCCCTCTCAGTAGAATTGGGAGAAAATTGGGCAGAGCCGTCTGCTACCCGCCGAGAGCAATATGCCGCCTACTATCATCATGTTCCCGCAGGCAGGCGGAAAATGATGGCGGACAAAATAGGGAGCTTCAGACCATGTCATGGGGCATGGTTATGTCCTATGCACACCGGATGCGAGGACACTAGAAGTCCAGCTACGGGGACGCATGTTTTGGCTGCTATGAGGCGGCTATTAAGGCAGGCCTAAGATTTCCTCTACATCAGGCTATGGAGCGAATCCTGGACGGGTACCAGCTAGGTGTCTGCCAACATATTAGGCTATGTTGCCAGCTGCGAAATGCACCAAGTAGACCCCAGCTTCGCCCACATGAATTACCTCAGCCGGACCCAAAAACAAGCGGGACCGACTGGTACCAGTTATCTAGCCACAAGGACTATATGATGACTTTGGGGAAGGAGAACAAGTGGAAAGATTGGAGGAACACTTTCTACATTGTCTCCACTGACAGTTAGGAATAAAAAACAGGTGGAACAAGAACCCACCTTTCCTAACCTATTCGGAGAAGAGATCCTTGACAAAGGCCTCTTCAAAGTGGATATCCAAGCGAACCCCGAGACTGGGGCGAGGGAGTTCAGCCTCAAAGTTATATTCCCGAGTATAAATGGCTATACGATGGGACATATCTGGCCGCCTGTGGCCTTATTGAAGAGATGTCGAGAGGTAGTTGACCGCATGTTCTAAGTGTTTTATAAGACTTGGTTGGTTTTGTGTCAAACTAACTCTTTGATTCATCTTTTGCAGATAAAGCTATGGAAAAGCTCTTGGCATTGAAGCTGCTGCCTAGTACCGCTCGGCCATCCAGGCAAGCGGTTAACGAAAGAGTCACCTGTTTTGCAGGCGCCCAAGGTGAACTTCTTCCAACTTTGAACAAGTCTTATTTAGTTTATGTCGCCTGCTTCTTACTTATTGTGGTTATTGTTGCAGGCAACTTAGCAAAGCCTTCCTCCTCCTCACAGTCGAATCCTAAAATTGGGACACAGGCAGCTGATGTGACGACTCCTAGGAGGGCTCCTAGGAGGGCCAGGAAGCACGTGGCCTCAAGGCCAGGAAGCACGTGGCCTCAAGGCCAGGGATGAACCCACCTCCAAAATCCCCGGCCTGAGAAGGAGAAGGAGAAGGAGAAGGAGAAGAAGGCGTTTGCTGAAGGTATCAAAGACTTGTTTCCTTTCCCTTACCCTTTGAGGGTCAAATTTAATCTGCAGTCGTCTAGCACCTCTAAAAGCAATCAGTCTATTGGCCGAATTTAGACCAAGTACTGTCTCTCAAAGGCCGGATCTTGTATAGCTGGCCAAGTCCATGCTGAAAGCCGTCCCCCTCGAGGACAGGAGGCGGCTAGAGGAGGCGGTACCCTCAACCTGGATGCTATCCTCGCTCTTCTTGCTAAGGTATACTTGTAAAAAATTTCTACTTGTTTATATAACTTGAGCCACCTGTAACTGACGTCTATTTTTTGGCCGAGTGCACTCGCACGAGTGCACTGTCTTCGCAGGCCCATCAACGAGAAGACCAAGGAGGTAAAGGCTGTGAATGCTCGCTCCGCCTCTTCTCATGATAAGGCCATGTTTTAGATTGCCCAAAATGAAATATTGACGACTGACATACTATATTCATAGGCGACCGCCAACCTGCAGAAGCGGGTCTCTTAGCTGGAATAGCAGGTCAAGGACCTCAAGGCCAAACTCGAGCCTCTTCAAGAGGCGAAGAAAGAAGCAAACGGCCTCCGGGCTATGGTGGATGGGCTCGGGTGGATAAACTGAAGCAGCGGCTGGCCAACCAGGAAAACCAACTCGCCAAAAAGTACACTTCCAGAGCCGAGGAGGAAAAGCAGGCCTTGGTCAAAGACATGATGGACGCTTGCAACATCATCATGGAGATGACCTGGGTGGCTCTTTTCCCGGACTTCAAGAGTCAGTTTACCGCCGAATATAATGCCAAGATCATGGGCCAAGGCAAGGGTGGAGAAGAGGAGGAGGGTGAGTCGTCTTATTCTGCATCCGGGGGGTCGGACCAGGATGATCAGGAGGACGAGGAGGATAATGAAAAAGAACAGCGGCCGACTGGGACCAAAAGGATACGGCTGCTGATGCTGAACAACCCCCTCCTGCTGCTTAAGCTTTCCTTTTTTATATCAACTTTTGTTCGGCCTACGTGCCGCTTGTTTTGTACCATTACCCGACCAAGGGGTCGGGGTTTATTGACAATTTCAACTTTTTTGTTAGTCTTCATGCCGACTGTTTATATGAATCATCCGGCATTTTTGTCGGATTTTCCAATTTGCACTTTGCTTTGAATTTTTGCATTTCATAAATTTTGCTAAGTATAGCTTGCCTATTTGTATGCCGATTGTTTTGGTATACCGACTGTTTTGGCCCCTGGCGGCTGACTGATGGATTAACTTGGAAATCTTTGATACTGTAAAGAGTATGGCTGATTTCTAAGTCAATCAATCACTGTGGTGATTTCCCCAAACCAGGCAGACAGACGCCATTGGACAGACGGTCATACGCTCAGCATGATCCGATTCTCGGCCTCAATATAGTTCCTTGAGACGAACCATGCTTAGCCACTAAGTTTTGTACATAGTTTATTTTATTGATTGTAAGTTGTCCGTTTGGTTGATACCTGTACAAATACAGGCGCCAAACGGGATGTTTAACCAAAGTATCCACCGCTTGTTGGGTTACATGCGGTAGCTTTGATTGTTTTACTAACCAAAATAGGAATAATGGCTGAATGTCATCTGTATATCAGAAGGACAGGCGGCTTCGTTCGTATTGTTTGGGTTCCATTTTAGGTTAGCTAGGTCGTGCGACTTTGAGTTAACCCTTGGGATTAATAATGAGATGGTTAAGTATTTTAAGACATAAACAATGAAATAACAGTCTATCATAGTTAATTAGCAATCAGAACTCTTTAAGACGTATCTAAATAAGAGATCCACAAGTAGATTGTTTCATATCTAGCTTCGTCCAATAAGGTCACTTCTGAGCACTATAAATCTATAATAAGGCTAGTTAAAACATTTGCAGTAGTTTATTTAGCAACCAATTAAGATTTAGGCAATAATAGATACACTCATAGGACAGATCAGCCATATTGCACTGGAAATACATGTATATTCAAGATCGGTCATAAAGCAATGCATTTGGAAAATAAAAAGAAGAATACGAGGTTATTTCTTTCCTTTTTAAGATCATATCTCTTCCCATGTGTTTTAATATAGTTCATATCTCAATTTCAGGCATTAGAAAAAGACTACTCAGGGATAAGCGCATGCAAAATGTAAAAGACATGACTACTCCATGGCAATGCCCCAAGGAAGCCACCCTGATTTGCGAACCTGGCATATATCAGACACCCTGAACTAGAAACTGAAGATGGCATGGCAAACACAATCACACAAGTACACTTGACACTGAAAACTACAAGCATATGTTTTGTATATGATGATCTTTAATTTCTTTCATAAGACGGATTGACGGAGCATGAAAAATTTTGCAGACTTCATTTAAAATTCCAGGCACACCTATCACCAGATGGAAAATAATGCATACGATGTGAAACAGAAATGAGAATGAGATTAAATAAGGAAGCTCTTTAGAATACCCTTGAGTATAACTTTTTCATCAAAATTGCCCTAGGTTTAGATTTATCCAAAAAAATTGCATCCAATTTCAATTCAAAAATTGCTCTTAACATTAAAGTCCTTCAATGTTTTTTTACGCAAAGGATGTAGTTAGCAAAGCTCCTCTCTCCCTCCTCTCTCTGACCGTCAGCAGAGCTTGAATTTTCAATCATGTCTCACCCAATTGCTCATCAATATAAGTTATTATAAGCTCTAATATCCGTAAATCATTATTCATTTGCCCTACTTTTTCGATCAGTGACCAATTACCACCATAAAGTTATTCCTTTTCTCATAGGTAATTGCAAGTTTGATATATGACACAAGGAAATATTGGTGTTAAAAGGAAGAAGTGGCCTGTTTGTTATAAAGATGTTTAGGGCTAGTAAAGAACCACTAAAGTATGCCCATAATAAAATTGTTTAATTTGAGAGGTATGGTAATGTTCCCCTTACTTGATGGTAATTGATTCCACCCATCTGTTATCCTCCCCTATCCCACTGAACACATCATGCCATCTTCCTTGATCTCCCTCTCTCATTTGATTCCATTCCATTATAATACCAGAAAATCCATAAAAGCAATGGTTACAATTAACATTTCCCTCTCTCATTGACTTAAATCCATTCTGTTTCCTCCAATCACACCAATTGCACCCAAAAAGTTTCAGCCTAATAAGACAGCCCAAGACAACGTACAACAAAACAAACTAATAGAGTGCTATTCATTTGACAGCTTAATTCAGTATCAAAGTAATGATACTCATTGGCAAGTTGTTACTTCACCAGATTCACCAGATTATATTGGAATAATCAAAAGTATGAAAAAAAAAAAGGTGAAATCAAGATATATTGAAATAATCAAAACCATGAGAAAACAACTACTCCCTTTGTCCCTTTTTATTTTTCCCGTATTCCTCTTTGGGGTGTCCCTTTGAGATGCCCCATTGTTCTCTCCCTCTCTCTTCTCATCAATGCCTCTAGCAACACCATGTGCATAATTTTGCCTCACTTCATAAAAAAGTAATCTTTGCTCTATGGAGCAAGCAAAAAGGGACATGAGTAAATATATCACAAGGTAAACTTTCCAAAAAAAACTTCTTAAATTAATCCACATCAAAAGAAAGAAGCCCCATCAGCTTAGTTACTAAAAGTAATCATGATTATCAAAGAGCCAACAAGGGATGAAATTTTAAAAATACATAATGTTTTGTTCAGTGACTAGTTTGACTCTAAACCAAGACCTTGTATTGATGAAATATAGCTAATTGTAGTGTAGAACTTTTTTAGCTACTCCGCTATCTTTTAAGAAAAACAAATAAATGCAACTTTTCAGTATGCAAATATGCACTTTGAATGACTTCAGAGCATGCTCTAAAGTAAGAAAATTTGGGGAAACTATCTTGATTTGACTGAGAGAAGAAAATTACACTTTGACTGGAGGACGTGATACAATAGCCAACAGTTGCAGATCCTCACTGTTGTCAGTGTTCGAGACCTGTACATCAAAACAAAGGTCAGAGGTGTCAACTGTTGTCCATTGTCATAATAGATGCAGAAATGGAAAAGCCTGCATACGGTTATTTACTGAGGGGAATAAAAATGATATGGCTATCTTAACAATTCCCTCTGCAACCCGAAAGCAATAGACAAGGCAAGAACCAGCAGAGTTCTTATAGACAACTTGACAAAACTTCAAATGGTAAAACAGTACCTTAAAATGCAAACATATATGGTCACAGTGTCAAACTAGTTAGAATAATGACACTTTACTTTTCTTGATCTTCACAAAAATTACCAAGATCAAGGAAAATGCAATTACAAATTCTACTAAAAGACAGCTTGACCAAACTACTATTCAGATTCTAGTTGTAGTTTTCAAAAGACAGGCCACTGGAAGCTAAAATCACAGTCTGAACAAGGGGAATGCGTTTACAATTCTACTAAAATACAGCTTGACAAAACTACTATTCAGATCCTAGTTATAGCTTTCAGAAGACACGCCCCTGGGAAGCTAAAATCACAGTCTGAACAAGCTGAGGTAGGTCGTGATCAATGACAGGCCACTGGGAATTATTAAAGGGATGCTGACTTAATCATTTGAATAAGACTAGGTCTGCAGAAGTAATATACTAATATAATAGGGTGTGGCAAGGTGCAGTTTGAATTTCCACAAGGATGAGTACTAGGGCACAGATAAACTCTATTTCTCAAGGACAAGATTACAAGGATGCAGCCTAATTATATTTGGAGAATCAAACAGGTACCTGGTCTAAAAGTCACCAATAAGTAATTCATTACTGGTTTCCCTTCTAATAAAAAGAGTTAGAAAAATAGAAAGCGTTGCAGAGTTGCAGTTGCAAGTGAGGCAAAAGCTGAATAAGAAACTCTGGTCTTCGGAAGATTCCTTAAAACAAAAGAAGATGATTATAGAGGATGAAAGAGTTGGGTTTAATACAAGAAGGAAGAAGTTTCAGTTTGACCAGGATCAAGAATATAAGTAGAGGGTGAAGCTGTGAAGGTGCCTAGAAGATGGATTGAAGTTGTTTCCCTTTTCTAAAACAATCACAAAAATTTCACTCTTCAATGTGATACAGTACCAAAATGATTCCTCAACTATATATATATATATATATATATATATATATATATATATATATATATATATATATATATATATATATATGTATGTATGTATATATGTATATATGTGTATATATATATAAAAATTTTATATTAATACATTTTTAATAGTGGTCCTGATTTCCATTCAAACCCACAGCATTCCTTGCTCCTGTCAACTACTTTCAATCAAATTCTCTAAGGTTGTGTTTGGAAACATGATATTCATTTCAAATGTTGGAATTGAATTTCGAAATTTGAAATCTTGATATTCAATTTCAATATTGGGTGTTTAGGAAATATCATAATTTCATTTCCAGAATTTCAAATTCTAATCTATGTTTGGAGATGAGTGAAATTTTGAATTAAGCAAATGAAATTACACTTTTAACTCACACAAATTTCCTTTCTCTCTCCTCCTCAATCTTCAATTCCCAAATTTTCATCTCTTCCTCTGCTCAATCTTAAATTTCCAAAGTTTCATCCTCTTCCCCGATTTTTTCTTTCTCCTCCTCAATCTTAAATCCCCAAAGTTGCTTTCCATGCTGCAATGTTGGTAACAAGTTGCAATGTTGGTTCAATGGAGGAGAGAGAAAGCTCGCGCGCCGCTCCAATGGAGAATTCGAAGAACTGCTGCAAATTTCAGAAATTGGTCAATCAAATTTAAGCCATTTTAAATAGGGTACACTCTAATGGTCGAGCAAGAAATTCGAAGCTCGCTTCAATGGAGGAGGGGCGAGAGAACTTGTATATGCTTCAAAGGTAAAGAACCCTAGGAGAGAGAAAAAATTGGGGAAGAGGATGAAACTTGTGTACGACATAGGAGAGAAAGATAGTTGGGCTTTTTTTGATGAATATTAGAATTTGAAATGACGGGTTTAGGATTGGAATTTCAATATATCAAAAAATACTCATGTCTTTATAATCTTGGATTTGGGCCAATTTAAATTCCCAAATTCTAAGCATATCCAAACAACATAATTGGGCCAAATCCAGAATTTTAAATGAAATTCTGGTTACCAAACAGGCCATAATGTTATTTAATGATTTGTGATACTATTTACTTATGCACTACGTAATTCAAACATGGTGGTACAAGTGTTGGGTATGGGTGCATATGCAACAGTCAAACAAGTTAGAACTCAATATCTTAGACACAAGACATTGTCCTTGATGAACACAAGTACGAGATCATGGCATTTATAACATACATTTCTAAATTTAAAGACTATTTACATGAGCTTCTCATGTTAAAGGAGTGTTCACATATACAAACAAACATTGAAACATAGATACATGTTTCACTTCAACTTGCATCAGTAGCATGCTAAATTCTGATTAAAATAACTCCACCATCCCTCTATATATCTACATTTTTGTGTTACATCTCTTAAGGTGTTCCCACTTCCCACACATCCATTTTAACATATGCATCTCCACTAAACTCATCTTCTTTACATGCTCCAAAAATTCCTAACTTCTGACCAAATACAGCGATGTAATTGGCGTCCCATATAAATTTCCTTAAGCTCAAAATCATGATACGATCGCGTTCAAATAACTGGTTCCAAAAGTCAAAGGAAGTTAAACAAAGCATTCCCTGAGGAATATTCCTAAAGATCCGAGTTTGAATAAGTCAAGAAAAGTGCCATAAGAATCGAAGTCAGTAAGCAACAACTAGTTGTTGGTAAAGAACAAGTCAAACCACAACGGATAGTGCATGGATAATGCGGCATGAAACTCGGAACAGAACGTGGGATTCCAGCCGTTGAAGTGCTTCAGGAAGACTTTTCCATTATAAATAGGAAGAGAATCATTGTACAAAGGCATAACACAAAATCTAAGCCTTATATTTCATAGCAATTAGCAATTATTAGCGACGTTATAAATCTATTTTTATCCTACATTGTACTTGTATTGAACTATCGACCTAGTGGATTGGAGGACTCATAGCCACCCGCGGTTTTTACCCTTTTTCCTAGGTTTTCTGCGTCATCATTCCGTCTTGTTCTCTTCCTTTCCCCTTTTTCATCCTTTTTTTAACCATTCATCTACATTTTTTGAACCTACATCATCGTTTGCATATCTATTAGTCTAGTTGTTGTCCTACTGGTCTTATCCGGCGATTAGATTTTGAGCTAAACAAGTACTACCTCTGTTTCCATTAGATCTTAACATTTACAATTTACACAAATCTAAGAAAACCAATGACTGAATGGGTAAGTATAAGAAAAAGGTCTTTAAAGTAAAATAAAAAAAATGTAAAAAAGTAGATGGGTATAAGAAAAAGATGGATAAAATAAGAGAGTGAATGAAAAGGAGAAAATATCGTGGGATAAGAGGGTAATATAGTGAAACTTGTTTATCAAGTATGCAATTGATTGTTAGACAATTATAGATTCATTGTTATCGTATTGTTAATATTATTAAGCTTGTTATAATAAGTAGCTAGAGACCTACAGCTACGGGTTGAAATTATATTTTTAGGACACAAGATGTCACGCAAATAATGCTAAGATTATTTCTATTACTATAGAGTTATTACTCCTCCATTACTAATTGACTGTTTATATTTGCCAACATTACTTTGACCATAGATATATTTAGTTACATATTAATATAAAAAATTTAACAGTTGAATATTAATAAACTACTCATGGAAAACATGACTATGTTATGTTTTATATATTGAGAATAATTTAGAAATTTTTTCATCTTATGAATAGTGCCAATATTTTAAATGGGAAGAACAAAAAGAAACCAAGGGAGTATATTTTTTTTATAACTATTGTATGTGGTTATTCCTTGGGTTTGGAAGATTATTTTATTTCTATTCTACTAACTATATTCTGTTTAATTGTTCTATACTTCAAAAATTATTGAACTGTGTTTGAGAGTTTGAGAGTTGGGACAGAGGGTGAATAAAATAAAGTGCCTTCTTGAACCAATTGATGTGCGATAGATGCCAATTTCGCAAGTGATTGTAATATGTATGAACAATTATTACTTAATTGTTTTGTATCTAAATGAGTATATGTTGTCTTTCATGGGTAACACTAAGATGGCAAATCACAAAAACGCCTTAGCTCACCAAACTTAACCTCTCAATGTTAGGAGAGAATACGTAACTTCCTTAGAACTCATCATTTAAACTATTAGTCTAAACTCTAAAGAGCTTAGTCCAAAATACAGAGGTCTAATACAAGACCACCTAGGGATTTTTTATCTCTTCAGTCTCTCTGGCATTCTGATAGTAGAATCTCAAATAAACTTCCACTTCTAAAGATTAACTCACAAAACAACTTAAATATGACAGCAGAAAAGAAATCTCCAGAACCTAAAAAATCAGCAAAAATGTATATTCAGGGCATCACCCACTTAAAAAACTTCATAAATCAAGAAAGGTTATTCTGCTTCCCCATGCATTCTTTCAGTCTTAATCATCAACAGCAAAAAAATACGCTGCAGGGACTCAAATGTTGATAAGTAACAAAGAGTTACCTAAGTAACCTAAAATTCTAACATCTGCTGGAAAAATATTGCACCTTCTGTTGAAAGAATCATGCTTCGATTGTTAGGGGTCGGGATCATTACAAGCTATTCCTCAAGGTCTTTTTCTACTTCTATTTTTGGAAGTGCCCTTATAATCCTCCATTTTATACTTCACTAGTGCGGTTTTGTTAATCTCTATTAAAAGGGTCAACTAGCCCATCAAAGTTCAAAATTTTAATGCTTGCCAAGGTTTTGTAGAGTCTAAATCTTTAATTGGTGATAAAAGAATTCTTTACGTAGCCAAATGGCACTCACCAAACCTGATTAGTAAATTAATTCAATCAGTTTCAATCTCATTAACGTCAGCTTTAGACAGACATTCTAATGTGAATTGCATAGTATGCATACAGTAACCTTCTACAAATCAAGGAAGTAATTAATATTCCAATTTGCTCATATTGGTGACTCAACAAAAATCAGAACTATAGATTAATATATACAAAATACATCAATACTTACCACATCTGGCAGAAATAATTTAGATACGAATACTACATGGGCAGAAATCAGTTTACCTGGTGAACATCATTGACAGGGACAATGAAAGTACTGTTTGCAAAGATAGGAAAGGCTTTAGGTTGGCCAGGATATTTTCCATGCGAGTCTGAAGCATGATAAAGTGTACCAGTACCCTTGAGGACTACAAAAACTTCTTCGCATGAGTGTCTGTGAATTGGTGTCTGTGATCCAGGAGAGAAGGTTTGAAGCCACACCTCAATCTGCCAAAATTAGACATAAGCAAAAATTAAGACGAGATTTTAGAACCATAACCATAACAGTTTAAATAATGCGATCTCTTAAATTGTCTTAACTATTATCATCTTTTGCTAATGTCTAACCATAATAATTCCCTTCAAAAAGCTTTGATTCATATCACCTTACATAGTAGAACATTATACTATACTATACTATCATTGTAACACCCCATAATTTAAGGCTTTCAAAATAATAAAAACATTGCTTAAAGCTCATGAAAACCAATTGTCAAACCTCGGGAGTGTTCCTGCTACACGTATTTTCCTTAGAAAAATAAATGTAAAGCAGATGACGTTTTAAAAAACTAAACCCTTTTATTACCATATGTACCCCTTTTTGATCGTATTACCATAGGCTATCGTTATTTCTACTAGTTGGGAAGATTTATACTCCAATAGTACATCTGGATCTACGCATGAGGATGATCCAAAATAATATGTCCAGCATTAGAGTTTACAAACGATCTAATCATATTTAATACATTGATTGTCCTGTTTTTTAGTCTTTAGCCCATATTCAATTATAATTTCTATTATCTACAAACTAAAATGCATGCAACTTGGTATTGTGATTAGCATCTTTTGAATCAGATCCCAAGGTGAATATTGTAAGCAACTTCACTATCAAACTGCACAATAAAATTATCTCAATTCTTCCCAGCTCCCACTTTCACCCTTTTATGAATTGCCCAAACTTCTGATTAGACTCATCAATTTTCTTGATAAGCAAGGATCCTTTCCTCTTCTTTGTTTCAGTAAATACCAACTTAACTGAACAATATTGTGGCTCTTCCACGTTGTGTTACAAAAAATAAGTGGGAGAAAAGGTATCAATGTATCATCTTGGGAGGTTGCTTGAATAATGTGATAGGCAGTTATATGTATAGTTTTACGAATTTTAAAGCTTGTAACGAACAGGGTACATATAAAATAAATAGGGTTACATTCAACTTATACAGGGCAGTGTCTTTGTACTTTGTAGTTAAGAATTTATAAATTTTGAAAGCTTCTAGCTACTATGAAAATGAGAAATGAGCAATGATCTATTTATATAACCATAATACTTGCCTCTTTCAAGCCATGAATGAGAGACCCAGCAAGGGTAATGTGAGAAAGGCCTTCTCTACCATAGTTACTTTGGGGAAGCTCACTTATATTCCTCACAAGTGGAAATCCTGCATCAATAGAAGACTATAATCAAATTATATCCCACACGGATATGCCCACCTGACTAGAAAACCAAAGCACAATGAGCTTCTCCATGTTTATTCGGTTTATCTAGCATCCATAAAAACCAATGACTTTGAATTGACCTCAGATTCCATCTTATTCCAACTCATATGTTCACGGTCCAAACATTTGCACAATTCCTTGTATATTGGTTTAAGATTAATATCTATTAACAACTCCTTCTACACTTGACCAAAGTTTCCCTAAAAGTCCAATAAATTATTTAAAGTGGGAGTACTTAATTGTCAATTTGTCATCATAGAAAATTAAAAATAAAACTACAACTCCTTCCACAGATAATGCTTAAAGTGGGAGGACGTGATCGTCATCATAGATTCATCTCTATTAACAACTCCTTCTATAGCTAATATTTCCTCATAATTGTTGCCTTTAGTTTAAAAGCAAAACTCGAAACAAAAACTATGTTACTCGAACTCTTCATTTGACTTCAAGTACCTCCTGCAAACATGGGTTGGACACTTAGACACTTCATTTTAATTCAAAAATCATGGAATATTCACAAAATAGCCAAGCCGGATGCTGGAGATGTACCCATGTTCCTGAGTCCGACTAACAATATTAAAATGTTGGCACCACCAGAAGTTCCCTATGTAATTCCTACTGTATCAAAAACTCTAACAAAAACCCTGGGTATAAACCAATTACAAGCAATTCAATTGTCCGAAAATCGAAACGATAAATCTCTAATAATTCATCATCACTCAATACATTATCAAAAAATATAATAATCCCTTTATCCATTAATTCATTTTCAAAGTATCAATTGTGCATTGTAACATTGAACATAAATTGCAGAAAACAAGAATACAAATAAACAACAATCAATGTATGAGAACAAAGCAACCCCAGATATTAATATGAGATTTTAGGTGGGAATTGAAAGCTTACCATTAATGGAGCAATCTGAAGCTAAGAGGGTTGCTGCTAAGAGAAGCCAACTAAGAAATACTATAGGAAGCAGATAAGCTCTAAACTGATACATTTCTCTCTTGCAATTGGATTTTCTCGAATTTTCCTAGAGTCCTCACGTGGCGATAAGCCAGCCCTAGTATGCCAAAAATTTATTTCTGATTTTTAGAAAGTCTATTTTTTACTGACTAATGAGATATGTAGCCGCTAAATATAATCATTAAATGGAATTAAGTTGATAATTCACGACAAAATCACGTGCAAATTGATGTAATTAATATTATTATATCTTTAATATTTCCTCTTTTAACTTTTAGGGCTATAATTATCATTTTTCTTTTTTATTTTTTTAATAATTTTATTAAACTTGGTTTTTAATAAAATCAAAATTAAAGATTAAATTAAAAAATTAAAATCAAAATCAAAATATTGTTGTTGTTCAATGTTCTTCATCAATAGATGAAATTAACCACCATCATTAGAATCTTTATCCCGTAGATACACTCTATAATACTCCGTATTTTTATGTATGTTATAAATTATTTAATTAATTATAATATATATTTTTAAGGGCTAAAGTATTTAAATTAGTGAGTTTTATAAAGTATAATTTATTTTGGGCTAAACTTTTATTAATTGTTGGAGACCTAAATAATAGTATGTAAACAATCCTTACATACTCCTTGTGGACCAACCCATTTCATTTAAGTAAGCCCAATTCTTTTATTTGAACCCTTGTGGTCAAATATTTCATAAATAAAGTCCATTTGTTTATTAAGTTCAACCCTAATCTTTATTCCCTACTCTATAAATACCTCTCAATACCCCAAAATTTTCCCACACAAGAGATCAAAAATCAGATTTTGGGGTAAGTAATCTTTTCTTTTCCCTTATTTTTCTTTTCTTTTTCTTTCTTTTCTTTTCTCCTTTTTCTTATTCTTTTCTTTCCTTGCATGCTGCTTTGGTTCATGCGTGAATGCATGGCCAATTGTTGCTTTCATGTCTTGCAGCAACCTCACGCCACTCCCCAGCCAGCCGGAGCTCCGACGACCCACGTCGGCAACCACCCCACCGTGAGCCACCCATCTCTCCTCCTCCTTGTTTTAAATTATTGTTTTATGTAGTATATATTTGGGATTTGTTAAACATCGCCCACAAACCTCTACGTAAAAGCCCACAATTATTTTTACTTTGACTCTTTTGCCCTTTTTCTATTTTTTACCGAAACTGTAATTCCCTCTCATGAAGAATGTGGAGCTGGAGTGGATTGCCGAGGGACACCGGAGAGCCATCATCGTCGCCGGAAAGCGAGATAATCCGGGGAAAAAATTACGAAAAGTAGGGGTGGCGTCTGGTCAGGACGCCGCCACCATGGTGGTGGCGTTTGGTCGGGACGCCGCAACCGTGGCAGTGGCGCCTGGCAAGGACGCCGCCACCACGGTTGTGGCGTCCTGGCCAGACGCCGCCACCATGGCTGTGGCGTCCTGGCCAGACGCCACCCCTACTTTTTGATTTTTTTTTTTTTTTGTAATTTTATTTAAACTTTTTGTAATTTTTTTTAATTTTATTTAAAGTTTTTGTTTTTTTGTTTTTTTTTTTTGTGGTTTTTTAACTTTGATAAATTTGAAATTAAATATGTGTTAATAAGTTCAAAAAAAAATTGTTTTAATTTGAAATTATGTTTTAAATATGTGTTAATAAAATTATGTTTAATTTTATATGTGTAAATTATATATAGAAATGAAATTCCTACAAATAAAAAATTTACATAATGTAAAAAATTTAAACACTATTTATTAACACAAAAAATTACCACATACAAAAAAATTAACACATATGAAAAATTAACACATAAAACAAAAAAAAATTAAACATTTTTAACACAAAAAATTCTAATTTTCAAAAAAAAAAAAAAATATATATATATATATATATATATTAGAAATAAAAACATTAACACATAAAACAAAAATATTAAACATTAACAAAAGAATTCTGATTTTCCAAAAAAAAAAAAAAATTAGACAAAAAAAAATAAAAAAATAAAAAATAATAGAAGTGGTGGGGCGCCTGGCCAGGACGCCCAGCCCCTGGTGGTGGCGTCTGCTCCGGCCGCCGAAAACAGGGGGCTGGCGTCTGACCTGAACGCCCAGCCTTGGTTCCGGCGGCCGGAGCAGACGCCACCACCAGGGGCTGGGCGTCCTGGCCAGGCGCCCCACCACTTCTATTTTTTTTTTAATTTTTTTATTAAAAAAAAAACCCTGCCGCCGTGAGCCGTCCTTCCCTCCGCTGCTATGGCCGCCAAGTCCTTACCTTGCCGCCTCGACATTGCCGTATTTTCGGGTGATTAGAGTGTGGGTATGGGTTAGATTTTTTTATTTTAGGTTTAGAGCAATAAGGTAAATTCAATATAGATTTGTGGGCTTTATGTGGAGATTTGCGAGCGATGTTTAGCAATCCACATATATTTTTGGGTTTTGATTCTTGTTATTTAAATATGATTAGTATATTTTATAATTGTGTTTTGATAACTAAAGAGTATAAATTTCTGATTTTGTATGGTTTTAAATTATGGTTTTTATAAAGTATTAAAAAGTTAGGGTTTTAACTATTAAAGTGTTGATTTTTAGGGTTCTAATAATCAATTAAATTAGGGCTTTCATTCCTATTGAATTTATAAAGATTAATTAAACATAAAAACTGATTTTCGGTAATCAAATTCTGATCTCCATTCTTAATTATTTTTAATCACGTTTTTATCCCGCTGAGATTATAACTCGTCCGATTTTTACAAAAAAATAGTGTTTTTCGTGTGTAAACAACGTTCTAATCATAACTTCCTACATTTAGTAGTGAGCACCACCCTCTCGTGGCCAAAATCAGCCTCTAAATAGGGTTTTCGGACAGTTTTTGAAAATTTTGACGAAGGTTTAATGTTTTAAAATAATTTTCAGATTTATTTGGGGGGTTTAAATTTTAAAAAGTGTGCTGGAATTTTTATATAAACACCATGAATGAGTTTTTACTTTGTGATTTTAATTACCCACTTAAAGAAAGAGTTTTAAAGGTTTTACACCAAAATTTCAGCTTATTAGAGAAGGTTTAAAGTGTTTAAAAGTTGCTAGAAATTTGTGTAATCAAGAAAGTAATTGAGTTTATGTATTTGGTATTGTAGGAGACTTTAAGTTGAGTAATTTCTAGCATTGTGGCTAGTTGGAAAGATGATTTAATTAAGGTACGTATAAGAATACGAGAAAACTTGATTTTAGGAGCATATTTAGGGACTTGGAAAAACCTAGAGTCATGCTAGGGAACTTGTGGATTGGTTGACATTGTTTGGTAATGAGTTGATTGATGATAAATGTGATGATTGGTTTAATTTATGAATGAGAAAATTTGCATTGATTTTCCTTATAAGCATTATTTATGCAATAATTTGCAAAGTGAGCTTAGAGGCAAAAATACAAGGATATATGGAATGAATTATTTTAATTACTTATTCATTTGTATTGAAATGGAATGAGTAAAGGTAGAGTTAAAGTCTTATAAGACAAGATTGTGGATATGAGGTGCCTTATGCACTTGAGGTATTTATACACCGAGATAGTTAAAGGATTCAATAATAAATGTTGTTTGTCACTGATAAATTAAGAATTAAATTGGAAACTTGAATGATTGATGTATGGTTGGTTGTGTTGTTTGCATATGAGTCATCACCAAATTTAAACTGGTAAATCACGTAAAGTGCAAGAAGGATGAGCAATAAAACTCTGGATTTGTGCACATCTAGAGTAATGACAAACAGGGGTTGGGGTTCACGGGGTATTAGCCGTGTAATTTTCAGAGGCCGTCTGCCATTGGATGTTTATTAATGTCTTCCGAAAGGAGGCATAGGGTTTTCTTAATTAATGTTCCGGAATGGAGCACAGGGGGACAACTCGGTCTATTGCTTAATCCAATTAAATTAATGAGATGATCAATACTATTTAGAGAAACTTTGTAATAAGTAACAATTGAATCATGTGTTCGAGTCAATGATTATATTGTGAGTGTATGGAATGCTTGATAGTATCATGCTAAGACTCTTTACTATATTTCGTAGCTTGTATGTACTCAGCGTTGCTGATTCCGTGCTTTTGTGTGTTTCTCTTGGTCATGGCCTTCGCCTTCAATGACCCTGTAATGATCCAATTCTTACACTTGTAATATTGGGGAGCAGATTTATCACAGGTTTCTGCATAAACTGAATTGCATCAGGGTGATGGGATTTGAGTGGAGCGTTGGTTAATCACTTAGCTTATTTTATATCATAGATTGAATTTTAATTTGGTTCTAATTCCATTTACTTCATATTATACTGGATTTTAAATAAGGGTCGTTATGGTTCCAACTTGTAAGACTAAATTAAGTTTTGACTTTTAGTTTAGAAACTAATATTCCTTTTTAAAACTAAGTTAGTTTTCCGCTGCTGATTTCTGAAACTAGCCTTAACGTTTTAACACGTGGCTGTAGCACACCAGTAATTCTCTCACAGGTTATTAAAAGTATTTACAGGTTATTACAGGTTTTTGCAGGTTTTCTTATAGAGAGAATTATTGGGGTGTTACACACTCACTCATCAATGAAGATTGAAAATATGTCTCGATTGACATACAAGTAGTATATTGGGGTTTGTGCAAATTCGCGTTCGATTTTAATCATAAAACAATGTTCCCTTCGTAGTTTATTACTTGTTCCATTTCTCAATGCACGGAGTTTTGAGAAAAAATAGTATCAGGTAATAAATTAGTAAAAGATTGTGAAAGGTTTCCAAAAAAAAGAAAATGGAGCAAGTAATAAAATACGGCCACAAATAAAAAGTGGAGCAAGTAATAAAATATAGAGGGAGTACATGTTAATTTGACAATCACAGTCAAGGGACGCATAATCGTTAATTATATTTATGCGAAAATTTTAATTTTCAATTTTTCGATAGTCTTAGTTTGTGAAGCAAATTGGAGAAGAAACCATAATTTTTTTTTTGAAAGCCTGTTTGATAATAATAATAATAAAAAAAAAATGAAGATGAAATTTTATAACCTATTTGTGTCTAGGTATTCAACAATATGCAGTTTTGAACATTGCCAATTTAGTCTGTCTTGTGTGCGGATGGTCACACCATGTGGTCGGTTG